GGACTGCACGTCCGCGTTGTGGTCGTTCTGCAGCAGCAGCGCCGCGGACTTGGTGTCGTCCTTGCGGGCGGCGATGTGCAGGGCGGGCAGCCGCACCTTGCCCTTGGTGTCGTTCTCCAGGAGCACGGCCACAGCCTGGTTGTGGCCCTGCTGCAGTGCCACCGCCAGCGGCGTGAAGCCATCCTGCAGACGCGGACAGAGTTGGCCTGAGCTTCGGGAAGTGGGGGAGGTGGGGAGAGCAACAGCTAGGTGGACAGCAGAGCAAGGAGCAATGGGGCGAACGTGCCTCAGAGATTGGAGGTGAGAGCCAGGCCCTTGTCTCGTTGCCGTAGCGGGGAGCCCCCAACTAGCACGGTGCTGCTGTCAGTGTCTCCCTTCAGGGCCGCTAATATTTGCTTTACAGCCCGGCCGGCGTGGCTCAGTGGTTGAGCGTCGGCCTAGGAACCAGGAGGTCACGGTTCGATTCCCCCTCAGGGCACGTGCCCGGGTTGCAGGCTCCATCCCCAGTGTGGGGCGTACAGGAGGCAGCCGATCCATGTTTCTCTCTCATCACTGATGTCTCTCCCTCTCCCTCCCTCTCTGACATCAATATACATTCAGGGGCTCCTGTGTCGGGGGCCTGAATGTCACAAATGTCCCACCGCCTTGCGGGTGAAGCCTGCCGTCAGGATGCAAACCCGGCCCTGCCTTGTCGGTCTCTGTGTTACCGTCTGTCTTGTCTGATCCAAGTGGGGCCGCCCCAGCTTTCTTTCGGTTCCATTTGCATGAAGCACGTTTTCTATCCTAACTGAGCCCATCTCATGGCCCTGATACTCGGTGGCACCCTCAAAGGTGTATTATATTTTTGGCCAATCTGACCAACAAAAACAGGCATACTTTAGACCAGGGGTCCTCAAACTACGGCCCGCGGGCCACATGCAAATACAAATATTGTATTTGTTCCCGTTTTGTTTTTTTACTTCAAAATAAGATATGTGCAGTGTGCATAGGAATTTGTTCATAGTTTTTTTTTAAACTATAGTCCGGCCCTCCAACGGTCTGAGGGACGGACAGTGAACTGGCCCCCCGTTTAAAACGTTTGAGGACCCTGCTTTACACTCAGTCACACTGATGGATACTGTGTGCTGGCTGTTGTCATTTTTTAAATTTGACGACCTCAGGGAAGCAGGTCGGTCTGACGTATTTTAGAAATTCTCAGCCTGCCGGTTGACAATCGCTGTTGTTGTGTCTGTGGAAACGGTTCTCATCCAGTGCATCCTGTTCCGTGTGCACCAGCACAGGAAGCATGGAATGTGAAGTCAACCTGTTTCTTAACAGATGGAGGAGTGACGCACGCAGCACTGAGAGAGGAAACCCCGCAGCCTGAGTTGGGAGCCGCAGGGCACCCGGGGAGGCTGGGGAGGAGGGAAGAGCAGCCGGGAAGCGATTCTTAACAGGGAGGAGTGACACACGCAGCACTGGGAGAGGAAACACCGCAGCCTGAGTTGGGAGCCGCAGGGCACCCGGGGGAGGCTGGGGAGGAGGGAAGAGCAGCCGGGAAGCGTGACGTCACGGGAGAACAAAGTGTCATGGGCCCCCAATCAGGGCCCCTGCTGGCTGAGCCGGGGGGGGGGTCCTCCCAGGAAGGCCCTGTGGGCGGGGCTCACCTCGGTGGCGGTGCTCTGGTTGGCGCCATTCTCCAGCAGGTACTTCACGACCTCGATGTGGTTCTCCTGGGCAGCCATGTACAGGGGCGTGAAGCCGTTCTGGGGACACAGGACAACACGCGGACCGTCATTCCTGACCGGGGAGCGGGCAGGAGCACAGCCGAGGGAGGAGGGGCCGCCCCTCTCGTGGGCGAGCAGACGTGTCCCTGCCATGGAGCTGCCAGGCGCAGGGCAGCGCAGCCCACACCCAGGCCCTGAGGACGAGGAGCAAGGACATGGGGAAATGCGTCCTCGGTCCCTGTCTTCATGTTGGTCCAGGGAGGCACTGCCTCATCTCCACACTCGTTAAACCAGAGACAGTGAGCATCTGAATATCTGCAGGTTCCTAACACACAGAATTCTCACCCTGTGGCAAACACTGGGTGTCCCCCCAGAATGTAGACACACTTCGCACAATTACAAAGGCAGAGTTTGCACCTCAAAGGGGTTTTCATCTCAGGATGAATTTCCTTTGTTTAAAGCTTAGTCTGGCTGGAAAGAAACATCAGTGGATCCATCAGCTGTTAAAGTGTGTAGACATGTTTCTGGGACACCCTGTATATGAAATAGCATTTATACACCATCTTCTGTATTTATCAGTGCGTAGCTATTTAAACAGACCACCATGATCTTCAATGTACACAGTTATTACTGAACATGGGTCGGAGCCAATGCGCGAAAGCATCTTTTTTGAAGAATATGTTTTCATTGCCCTGGCCAGTTTGGCTCAGTGGATAGAGCGTCGGCCTGGGGACGGAAGAGTTCTGGGTTCGATTCCGGTCAAGGGCACACACCTCGGTTGCAGGCTCCTCCCCAGCCCAGGCTCTGGTCAGGGGCGTGTGCAGGAGGCAACCAATCGATGTGTTTCTCTCATCAATATTTCTGTCTTTCCCTCTCTGTTCTACTCTCCCTAAAAATCAATGGTAAAATATCCTCAGGTGAGGTTTAAAAAAAATATATATATATATCCTATATAATAAAAGCCTAATATGCTAAGTGTCCGGTCATCCAGTCGGCCATTCAACCAATCAAAGCGTAATATGCTAATGATATGCTAAGGCCACTCAACCGCTCACTATGACGTGCACTGACCACTAGGGGGCAGATGCTCCAACCAGTAGGTTAACTTGCTGTTGGGGTCCAGCCAATCGGGACTGAGCGAGACGGGCCAGACATGCCCTGGAGCCCTCCCGAGGTCCCTCCCAGGCTGGCCAACCTCCTGTGTCCCGCCCCTGCCCTGACCATGAACTGGTGGGGTCCTTCGGCCTGGCCTGTACCCTCTCACAATCTGAGACCCCTCAGGAGATGTCAGAGAGCCGGTTTCAGCCCCATCCTGCAGGCCAGGCTGAGGGACCCTACTGGTGCATGAATTCATGCACCAGGCCTCTAGTATGTATACAGTGGGGCCTTGACTTACGAGTGTCCCGACTAACGAGTTTTTCGAGATACGAGCTGTCTCTCGGCCGATTTTTTGCTTTACGAGCCAGCTTCAGATACCCCACCGCTGGTTGGCACAGCGAACATCACAGTGAACGCCATAACATCAGCCCAGCATCACGTGTCTCACTCGTTCACTTTAAGATTTGACATACGAGTAATTTGAGTTACGAGCTCCGTCACAGAACAAATTAAACTCATAAGTCAAGGCCCCACTGTATATATATATATATATCTTTAAATTGATTTCAGGGAGAGAGGGAGAGGGAGAGAGAAACATCAATGATGAGAAATAATTGAGCCCCCAACCTGGGCCTGTGCCCTGACCAGGAATCAAACTGTGACCTCCTGGTTCATAGGTCAATGCTCAGCCACTGAGCGACACCAGCTGGACACCAGAAATAATTTTGAAAAAAATTTTTCAGGGCTAAACATGTTTTAAAAATAATTCAAAGACCTCTTGCCAAGACAGCACAGAAAGCTGCAATTCATGGGCAGCGTGTGAGCACCCAGCTAAGTCGTGCCGTGGACGACTGCACAGATGGGGGGGCTCACTTCCCATTACCCGTCTTCGTCGCATTTGCCGTTGGTAAGAGGGTGAATGACGTGGGTTCTCGTGTACATTTCCTTCGATGAGGCAACCTCAGTGAGAGTGTGAAACACAGCGCAGATCTCTGCAGGTTTCCACCTGCTGCTGGCCCCGGGGGACCAGTGACCCCAGTTCCACAGGAAAGGGGTGCCGCAGAGCCGGGCGGACCTCACGGGAGAATTCCCTCCGCAGAGGCCCGGTTCTCGCAGGAAGGCCAGTGTCAGGTTCAGGCTTCCCCGGGCAGAACTGCTCAGCGGGCTGGTGGGCACTGCGGGCTGGGGGGACTGCGGGCTGGGGGGACTGCAGGCTGGG